AATTCCGCTTACTAAATAGAAGAAACCAAGAGCATGTTTTATGTCACCTTCATTTGATTTTTTATACCATAAAAATGAATAACTAAAAGTAATACTAGATTTTTGTTGTTCGCGTTATTTCAATCCAATTGTACACATGTAAACGTCAATGTAGATATAAAATTACTACGATGATGGTGATAGGTTAGATGAATAAGTATGAAACGAATTGTACTTTTTCTTAACGGTGGGCTTAGAATGGGTGGGAAGATGAAACCTGGGGTACGGCGACATTACCGCGAATACAGAAAACGACATTATAAAATGTTTTTTACAAAAAGTTCCTTAGGGAATCATTGCCCTGAATTTTTGTTAAAAAATGTTTTATCTGTAAAACTAACAAACTATACATCATTCGACGTAGTTTTTCACGCTGATTCCGAATATGGCATTATTCCTACGAAACGGTGCTTTGGTGAGAGAGAAAAGTCTGAAATACGCGAAAACCACTTGGAATTTTGGAAAATCCATAAAATCTCCTTAGAAAATATGCGAGATTTTGCACTTTTAGAACACATAGAGTAGCGTTTGACGAATATTTTGATGTGTTTGAATGTTATTTTCGCGTGGGGCTAACGAGGACCAATCGACTATACTGGAGTACTGTTACTGCGGACTGACGTGATGGCGAACATGTCGGTCTTACTTATTCAATTCGGTGCCGAAATAGAAATATTTTGTTATCAATAGATAGCTGAAGACGTGCTGGTTCTGAATACCTGCTTTGAAATCGCGAACATAGTTGATTAAGCAAAGAATATGCAGTATTTCGTATGTAGTAACGATGTTCGTAATCGGTTTTGTGTAGCGTGATTTCTCGTCGTAGGAGCCATTTTCAAAGTAGACATTTATATACCACTCGGTAGCCCTTTGAAAGAGCTACATTTTCCACTATTTGTATTTGAATTAGGAGCAACTTCGATTTTTCACCTAAATTCCGCCTGGATGCCCACTGTGCCCTGTTCCCTTGGTCTCAGCTCATTTTCATAACTCAAACGCATCCACTCTGGCTCCCCTCTGCAGTTGATGTCCACTCAGCTTCATAACACAAATACATACATCCACTGTTGTGAGAGAGACATGATCGAGTCTAGTTCCCCTGTTCCCTAATCTGCGCTCATTTCCATAAGATACACACACGCACTCTTGTTCCCCTCTTCGCTCGATCTCCCCTCATTTTCATAAGATACACAGATCCACTCTTGCCCACTGTTCCCTTGATCTCTGCTCAATTTCATAACAGCAATAAGTAGATACATCCACTGTTGTGAGGGAGACACGATCGAGTCTTGTTCCACTCTTCCCTTAATCTCCGCTCATTTTCATAAGATAAACAGATCCACTCTTGTTCACCTGTTCGCTTGGTCTGCGCTCATTTTCACAAAAGAAATAGATAATACATCTGCTGTTGTTAGAAAGACACGATCGAGTCTTGTTCCTTTGTTCCCTTGACCTCCGCTTAATTCTTTTTAGATAAACAGACAAATACATACACTCTTGTTCTCTTGTTCCGTTGATCTCCGCTCACTGTATAAGAAAAACGCACAAATACATGCACTCTTGTTGTCTTGTTCGCTTGATCACCGCTCAATTACATAATAGAAATAGATAAATACATCCACTGTTGTGAGAAAAACATGATCGCCTCTTGTTGCCCAGTTCCCCAAATCTCCGCTTATTTCATAAGATAAACACATCCACTCTTCTTTCCCTGTGTCCTTGTGCTCAGCTCATTTTCATGAGAGAAGTAGATAAATACAGCCACGGTTGTGAGAGAGACATGATCGAGTCGTCTTCCCGTGTTCGCTTGATCTCCGCTCGTTTTCATACGATAAAAAGATCCACTCTTGTTCACGTGTTCGCTTCATCTGCGCTCATTTTCAAGCAAGAGTCGATAATGTCTTTCTCGCAGCAGTGGATGTATTTATGTATTTCACTGATGAAAATGAGCGGAGAGGAAGGGGACAGGGGAACAAGAGTGTATGTGTTTATCTATTTTTCTTCTGACAATGGGCGAACATCGAACGATCTACATCTACTCTCTTTCCTCTGTTCCCTTGACTTTCACCCATTTTCATAAGAGAAATAGATAAATACACCGACTCTTGTTCCCCTCTTGCCTTGATCTCTGCTCACTTTCAAAGGAGAAATAGATAGATACATCCACTGTTGTCAGAAAGACATGATCGACGTTTGTTTCCCTGTTCCCTTGATCTCCGCTTATTTTCATAAAATAAAAACATCCACCCGGGTTCCCCGGTTCCCTTGATTTCCCTCAATTTCATAAGAGAAACAGATAAATACATCCACTGTTGTCAGAAAGACATGATCGACTCTTCTTCCCCTGTTCCGTTGATCTCCGCCCATTTTCATAAGATAGACAGAGAAATAGGTCCATCCATGTTGATTGCCGCTCAGTTTCATGAGTGAAATAGATGAATAAATCGACTCTGGTTTCCTTGTTCCCTTGAGCTCCGTTTATTTTCTTAGAAGAAATTGATAAATACATGCACTCCTTTTCCCCTGTTCCCTTGATCTCGACTCAACTTTATAATAGAAATAGATAAATACATCCACTGTTGTGAGAAAGACATGATCCACTCTTGCACCCTGTTCTCCCCTTATTTTTATAAAAACTCCTCTTGTTCCCCTGATCTGCGCTTCTTTTCATAAAATAAAAACATCCACCCGGGTTCCCCGGTTCTCTTGATCTCCCCCAATTTCATAAGAGAAACAGATAAATGCATGCACTGTTGTGAGAAAGACGTGATCGACTCTTGTTTTCCTGTTCCTCTGATCTCCGCTCAATTTCGTAAGAGAAAATGAGGGGAGATCAAGGGAAACAGGGGAACAAGAGTGACTGTATATGTCTGTTCATCTTGTGAAAATGGCCGGAGATCAAGAGAAACGCCGAACAAGAGTCGAGCGTGTCTTTTTCAGAACAGTGGATGTATTTATCGGAGCACAGCGGCGGCACATGGGAAAAAGAGTGGATGTGTTTGTCTTACGAAAATGAGCGGAGATCAAGGGAACAGGGAAACAAGGGTAGCTTTGTTTGTCGGTTTATCTTAAGCAAATGAGCAGACATCAAGGGAGCAGGTTAACAAGAGTAGATGTATTTATCTGTTTATCTCATGAAAATGAGCGGTGACCGACCAAAAGTCGGTCATGTCTTCCTCAAAACAGTGAATGTATTTATATATTTGTCTTTTTAAAATGAGCGGAGATGAACGGAGCAAGAGAAGAAGAGTCGATTTATTTATCTATTTCTTTTATGAAAATGAGTAAACATCAAGGGAGCAGGTGAAGAAGAGTGATTGTATTTATCTATTTATCTTATGAAAAGAAACGGAGATCAAGGGAAGAGGGGAAGAAGAGTCGGTGTATTTATCGGTTTGTCTTAGGATAATGAGCGGAGATCAAGAACACAGGAGAACAACACTAGATGTGTTTAGCTTACGAAAATGAACGGAGATCGAGGGACCAGGAGAACTGGAGTCGATTATGTCTCTCCCGCAACAGTGGATGTATTTATCTATTTCTCTTATGAAAATGAGCGAATGTCAAGGGGACAGGGGAACAAGGGTGGATGTGTTTATCTTGTAAAATTGCGCGGAGATCAAGCGCACAGGGGAACAGGAGTGGATGTATTTATTTTATTGAATTGAGTTTAATTTACACCGATTTCGTCAGCAAAAACATGAAGTTCTTGTGGAGAGACATGTTGTTTGCTGAGGAAATCGTTGTTCTACCACAAGAAGTTCATCTTTTTCGTCGAAGAAATCGTTGATCCTGCACAAGAACTTCGGGTTTTTGTCGAGGAAATGGCTGTTTCCCCAGAAGAATTTCAGGTTTTTTTCTGAACACCGGTGTGGTGAAACACCAATTCCTTCAGCAAAAAACATGAAGTTCTTGTGGAGAAAAACCGACTTTTTCAGGAAAACCATGAAGTTCTTGTGGACAGACACCGATTTCGTGAGGTCATAGCATGAAGTTCTTCTGGAGGAACACCGATTTCTTCAGGGAAAAGCATGACGTTCTTCTAGGGAAACACTGGTTTCGTCACGAAAAAACATGAAGTCCTCAAATCCAAAATTATCAGTGTTTGGGCACAAGAAGAAAAACATGAAATTCTTGTGGAAATACACCGATTTCTTCAGTTGTTGTTTTTCCATAGGAGCTTCATGTTTTTTCCTGAGGAAATCGGTCTTTCTCCACAACAACTTCATTTTGTTTGCTGAAGCAATCTCTGTTTCTCCAGCAGAACTTCATGTTCTGAGGAAAAAACACCGGTTTCCTTAGGAAAAAACATGAAGTTCTTCTGGAGAAACACCGATTTCGTCAGGAAAAAACAAGCAGTTCGTGTGGAGAAACACCGATTTCTTCGGCTGGTGTTTCTCGAGAAGACCTTCCTGTTGTTCGCTGAAGAAATCGTTGTTTACCAGATGAACTTCATGTTTTCCCATTTTTAGTTTTATCATTTCTTCTCTGTTAAGTACACATACATTTACTTTCTTTTTCTGCACAATATCTATCACTTTTTTGAGGGACGCGTCGTTATTAATGTGGTTCAAACTACAACGGCTGTCTTGTGGTAAATAGATGTTATAATTCGGCAAGCAACTTACACGTATATCATTGCCAAGTTCTATGTTATTACGTTATTTTCTAATGAACGACATTTTCGGTATTCCGGAAGGATTTCTAACATAAACAACAACTCTTTTCTTTTATATTGTCAGCCATCACAAAGACTAGTAACAATTATAACGAAGTGTTTTATGCACTATGTCAACTGTAGTGAGCTTTGTAGCACTTACCTTGTCTGTGTTATTACTGTGGAAGCCAAAAGAAAATGTCGTTTTTCTATCCAAATCTTTTTTACAGAATGCACTGCGGTAAGTTGCGGTAACGTAAATTAGTTCGAAAATTAGTGGTTATAAACCAGCACCACTCCGCTATATATTTAGAAACTTCGATGTGTTATATCACACGACCTGTTCTGTCCATTTACAATTCAAGCTCAGAAAGAGTTGCGGACTATGTCTGAGTGATAATTGTTTATGGTTAAGCGAATTCGCACAGTTAACTTTTTCGCCTCTGTTACGGAAAGGATCGAAATATATACTCAAGGTAGTGCATTCTATTGATGCCCATGGCTACCATGAAATTAAATGCTTGGTTACCGGCAGCCCAAGATCGCCATCTCATTGTTGTACATAATAGTGAGCCACTGCGGGAATTCGATAACCCTCCAGCAGGCGGATATAATCACATTTCGGCTATGAAGTAGCATAATCTAGCAAAGAATAGTTACCATTCTACCACACTGATTGACTTTCAGTGAAACCACAACGAAAAAACACAAAAAGTATCATATAAAGTTAATAAGTCAAAAAGTATCATATTTATTGCTCCTACATTATCAATTAATTACCACTGCGATTTACTTTAATTGAGTACTAATTATGCACATTACTTCTTTACCTCTACGGGCTAATCCTTGCGTCTGCTATGCGTTTATCGCTTATATCGGAACTACACGCTGATTATGCGAGACAATTCCTCATCACGTTCGTGGTTCCTGTCTGTATCCTTTGAACCGACATGTCGGCCAACCGAGGCTATTCGTTGCCATATGCTTGAGTCGTATTCATCTCTCTGCTATGGGGACTTTCCCCAACGATATTTTGTAATAATTTCTTTTATATTGGCGTACATATCAAAGAAACTAACTTTCAATGTAACACCGGCCCTGAGGTGACATTCTGCATTATCGTGTGAAAAGTCATTCCTGGTGGGCGAACAGGGCCTGTTACAACAGTCTCTTCCATTAGTGTTCGTGCTTATAAGCCTCTAAGACTCCCCTATCCCTTACGGGATGCGCAAAGCTTGCTTTCGTTGTTTCATCACTGTAACTGCTTACAGGACAAATTGTCATTTGTTTTTTCTCATCATTTTCGTCTTATATGTTCAGGTGGACAGTTCTCAATCACATGTTACCACACGTGACGTATTGGTATTTTCCCAGTGTGATCTCACGTGTCCTTACGATATATATACTCGCATTGTTTTTCTTTTCTGTGTCTTCTTCTTGTTCTTCTTTTTTATCATACATTGCGTAATAAAAGTGTTGCGTAACAAACAGAACTCACATTTACAAGCACGCAACATTTACAGTGGCGACGAGTTTTCTTTCGTTACATTTACTATACTACTGATTCTTAACAGCATTTTGGATGTCCAAATCAAGTTCTATTGGTGTTATCCCACAAACGTTTTCGTCGATTCCAGCGCTTTACGCTTTTGATCCTCGCACGACTACTTGGCAGTCCTATCGTGATCGCATAACCTTCTTCTTCAAAGCCAACCGTATCAACACGGATGACGATAAGAAGGCCCTGTTTCTTTGGTCTGTCGGAGATGCGACGTACAGTCTTCTTGAGTCGCTCGTTTCGCCGAAGTTATTGACCGACGATGACACTCAATTTATCGATCTCGTTACAATACTCGATTCGCATTATGATGCTACTAAGAACATCATGACAGCAACGTACGATTTTTATTCCTGTTACCAAAAGCCTGGTCAAACGTTTGCAGAATGGAAGGCTGAATTGTGTGAGAAGTTACGCTATTGTGGATTTACAACATCTGTGCTTAAAAATAAACCGCAAGATCGTGCACTTCGAGACATGTATGTTATCGGTATCAATAATCCGAAGATTCGACAAGCGTTGCTCAAAGAGCAAGATCCCGATTTGGAGAAAACTGAAAAAATCATTCAAGTGGCTGAACGTTTAGAAGAGGATGTTCGTCATTTTGGAACATCGATCAATCATACAGACTCCACAATAGCCAAAGTTCAACCAAAAAGATTCAACCAACGTCCGGCGACGCTAAACAAGCCAACGCCGAAGGTTGAGTACAAACCATGTCAAACTTGTGGATCAACCAATCATCCACGCTCAGAATGCAAGTACCGTGAATTTACTTGCAACTTCTGTAAACGCTCTGGTCATTTAGAGCGAGTGTGTCAAAAGAAAAAGGACGGAAAGAAGACGACAAAACAGGTTAAAACGTCACATAAACTTAAGCATGCCAATCAACGTACACAGTCAAGCTCAACGACGTTATCTTTACGCGTCAACGGCCACGACTGCACGCTTGAGCTCGATACAGGAGCGGACAATACTATCGTTAGTGTCAAGGATTAGCAAAAAATGGGATCACCAACTCTTTGTCCGTCTTCGTTGAAACTGGAATGCTACAGTGGTAAACCACTCAGAGTTAAAGGTCAATGCGACGTCAATGTTGACGTCCCGATCCGAAGCGAGTGGAAGCTATTCAAAATTTGCCGACGCCCAGAAATGTAAAAGAAATCGAAGCGTTCATCGGTAAAGTAAACTATTATGGTAAATTCGTATCAAACTTCTCCGATCTATGTGAACCACTCAACCGTTTACGACGTAAGAACGCAGCGTGGAAGTGGACACCAGCATGTGACACACCTTCCGCTAATCTCAAACAGCAACTGGCTGAAGCAACGACACTTGTACATTTTGATGCACAGCTACCGCTTATTTTAGCAACTGATGCTTCAAACTACGGCATTGGCGCTGTCATCATGCATCGTTACCCGGACGAATCAGAGAAACCAATCGCACACGCTTCAAAAACGCTCACTGCTGCTGAAAAAAATTATAGTCAGATCGAAAAAGAAGCACTTTCGATCGTTTACGGAGTTAAAAAATTCCACCAATATTTGGCAGGACATACGTTCGAGTTAGTTACGGATCATCAACCGCTATTGTCTATCTTCAGTCCAGTTAAAGGGATACCCGTCGCGACAGCAAATCGACTTCAACGGTGGGCGATTTGTCTTATGGGTTATAGCTACCACATCCGTTACAAGCCGACTCGACTCCACGCCAACGCAGACGCACTTTCGAGACTTCCAGCAGGTCCGGACGACTCCTTTGTGGATAACGAATCTCTTCAGATCAATCGTATCCACGCACAGATCATCGAAGAAGGGCCAGTAGACGCTGCTGAAGTTCAAGCTGCAATGGACAAGGACGAAACACTTCAGATGGTAAAAAAATTCACTCTTGTCAAATGGCCGAATTCATTTTCAAAAAAGAACAATCCTGAGCTCATCGCATATTACGATAATCGTCACGCTTTATCTGTCGTCAATGGATGTTTGCTCAAAGACGTACAAGTGATCATTCCCAAGCAATTACAACGCCGAGTTCTTCACATGCTGCATCGTGCTCACCTTGGGGTGGTTAAAATGAAACAGTTGGCTCGTCTTCATTGTTGGTGGCCAAAGATCGACAAAGACATTGCTAGTCTAGCAAATTCTTGTGAGATTTGTGCAAGGTCAGCAGCAATGCCTAAGGAAGAGTTTAAACCATGGTCAGAACCGGAACATGTGTGGTCTCGAGCACACATGGACTTCGCTGGACCATTATGGGGTTCGAAATGGCTCGTGATCGTCGATGCAAAGTCAAAGTTTCCATTCGTCGCAGACATGGGAAACAATACAACCGCAAAAAGTCTTTGTAACGTTCTTGAACAAGCAATTGATTGGCTTGGTCCGCCAGAAACGCTCGTTTCAGACAACGGTCCACCGTTCAGTAGTTACGAAATGAAAGATTTCTACAAAAAGTACGGCATCGAACATGTCACAACAGCTCCTTATCACCCAGCCAGCAATGGACTGGCGGAGCGTTTTGTGCGCTCCTTTAAAGAAGGGATGATGAAGGAACAGCAAGCTGGACAAACAAACAAGAAT